AACATGGGCCTGTTGAAGGCACACACTTCTCAAAGGCAAAGTAAATAAGTTCTTCAGACCAGCATCAACTGAAGGAGGCAAACTTTATTGGCCTCTTATCATCACCACTCTGCCTCACTTCTGAGCACAAAGTAACACTGTAAGCTCAGGGCAGAGAGCAACTTCATATGTGGAAAACTCCCAATTTCTCTCACCCAATTGTAATATAAATGAATTTTAGAAATAATAGTAATATGTCCATAGATTATAATGGTGCCAAGTGTGAGTGTTTGGGGATTTGCATCCTGTTTGGGAATTATCTGTAATATATACAAAGTTTTTGGAGTGCAGATATGCTAGATTAGTCTAGAAGGAAATTTATAATGAAGTGATTCACAGAAGAAATGCATTGCCTCAAGAAACTATTCACTTGCTATTATGGTTATCTCATTATGTGATAATTTCCTTAGTTTCTCCAGTCTGCCTTTTCCCCCAGAGATATTTAAAGTCCTATCAACTTATAATCTCCACCCAACATAATAAGACTAGCTACAGGCACAAAGTAAGCAAAACATCTGACCCTCAGCCAAAACCCAAATGGTCCATGGGGTATTTGGGATACTTGGGGTACTTCAAGCTGTTATGACCCTTATGGACCTTGGCAAGCTGTTACGACCCTTTTAAGTTATCGCTTAAGTCACTCTTTAGCATAGTGGAAATGAACAGTTGCTCCCCAGTATCCACAAGGTATTGGTTCCAAGACTGCCAAGGACACCAAAATCTACAGACATTCAAGTCCTTTATATGAAATACAACCTTAAGGATACTTTCAGTCATCACTGGATTACTTATACTACCTAAAACAATCTAAACTGTATATAAATGATTGTTATACTGTTTAGGGAATGTGAGGAAAAATCTGTACATATTCAGTACAGTTACAATTATTTTTAAAACACTTTAGATCTGCACTTGGTTGAACCCATGGATGCAGAACCCAAGGATAAGGACAATCAACTATATATCACCACATTATATATCTGAAATATATACAATAATTTTTTGTCCTAGATTGAGCAATAACCTTAGCATAAAATTTCACCTTACAAGGCAACAAATAGTTTGTCAACTATTTGAAGATATTCCTTTAATATATTTTCAATTGTCTCACCATTCAAGGGCAGTGTTATTGCCCATAAATAAAACTTATATTCAGCACTGAAGTACATTTTAGTTTTAACCATCTTTATTTTCATTTTTTCCTATAGTTCATCCTTATCTCTGAGGATACTGAGCTTATGTTAGGACATTTGCTCAAGGTCTGAGGTCTAAGTGTACAAATTGAACAATAATCTGTCCATTCACTCCTCCAAACTGCAGATACTCAGGCACTGAAGCAGTGCTAATGAGACAAATCTAACTGAGTATTCTAAGAAGTGCTATGGCAAGCATAAGTGGAATGGCATGGCTCTCAGCCTAGACTGAGAATGAAGGAAAGTTTCTCAAAGGAAGAGGGGACTCCTAAGAGAAATGCTGTAGAAGGTATGCAGGTATCCAGGTGTTAACTGGGCAGGGATTTTCTATAGCAAAATGCCAGCTTGAGAGAGGCAGGATGATATATTCTTGGCCTGAACATAAATGTTTCTCTTCTCTATGACAAGGCATCACTTCAAATAACCTGGGCATCCCAATCTACCAGAAACCCACCAGGAATCTCTCCACCCATCACTGTAATTTTTAATGACATCTATTCATTATTTAAGTTCTTCATTTAACATTTAATGAATTACCCCAGTGATATGAAAAATAAAAGAAATACCACTTACTTAGCACCTACCATGAACTAGTTATTTTGTATACATGTTTCATCTGATCGTTGCTACAAATCTGCACAGTAGGGACAATTAACTCTACCTTATGAATGAAATTTACTGTCAGTAAGTAAACTGCCAAAAGCCACACGCCTATGAAGTAACCGAAACAGAATTCTACCTCGTGCCAAAAACTCATTTATTTACTAAAAGAAATATATTTATTGATTGCCTACTATGTATACTCTACTGTGGAAAACAGCTTCACAGACTCAGAATTTTTAAACAAAATTTTTTCTGAGGGTATACCTTACTGATTAGATTGTGTACTAAGCATGCACAAGCTTTAGGTTTGATAACGAGCACAAAAAATAAATAAATGAAAATAAAATAGTTTTTCTAAGAACCACACTGTAGGAAGAAAAGTCAAGAGTGCGCATCAGCCACTTGTTTTGACAACCACCATATTCCAATTCCAGGCCACATCAAAATTACAGCTTTCTTTGACCTACAAGTAAAACTCAAGAAAGACTCTCTCTGATAACTGACCTACAGTCAGGAGGGAAGGGTATCACTGGGAACTCAGGAAGCGAAAGAACTTTGGGGAGAGAAAGGGAGATAAACGTTTTCATTTTATGTTGGCAAACTTCAAAAAGGCTATTTGAAAAGAATACAGATGGCACTCATCCCAAACTTTCAGTGTTTTCCTACACAAAGTTTGTCCAGGCAAACATTAAAAATCTAACCATCTTGTAGAGACCTTACCTAACTCTCTGTAGCTCATGACATAAAACATACTTTCATTATGGAAGAGCTGACTCTTTCTCACTCTAGAGGGTAATGCAAGTGCCAAGAAATGCATGGTGTGATGGCTCAAAGGCAAAGGCAGACAGTCCTGCGGGATTAACATGTTACAGGTGTAGTAAATGTTTGCTGTTTATTTGAGCTGCCTAGCTTCAGAACCTTCCTGTAGTAGAGGACTCTCAATTTATTAAGTCCTTACGGAGGAGGTGAAGAAAGAAAAATCGTCCTCTATAAGCACTAAAACACACTAGATACTTGCTATCTCTAAATCCTTTGCCAGATCCAGGTGATGTCTCCACACCAGACACCAACTTAGAAGTTTTTGAAGCAAAGAGAAGAGATTAATGACTGCTCCGTGCCTGCTGCTGGCAGCAATATGTTACAGAAAAGCTACATTCATGGTGAAGAAATAGCAATGATACAAACTGTGGCTTTTAGAATGTACTGGTGGTGACTGGAGTTTTCTCTTCTGATCAGTTGTATTGCATGATTTTGACTTGTTCTAATTTATGTTCTCTAAAACTGTAAGTAACTATTTCATGATAAATCAGCCAGGATCAGTCTATATTGCTTGCATATAGGAATCCTAACTGATAGAGTGGATATTTGCTGGTTTGGATTGTTCAGTACATCCTTAGCCTCTCCTAGTAGCTTCACATCCGTTCCCTAGACGAAGCACCCTAACTCCAAACAAAACATAAAATCAAAATTGGTTTCCCCATCACGGAGGTTCCACCTGTCCTTTCTTTCCAAAGCTATTCTGTCCTTTCCTTCCCAAGATATTCCTTTCAAAGATATTCTTATAGATCCCATTTCTTGAGCACAGCAAGTTGTCTAGATATGACATGTAAACCAAAGCTGAGGCTAACCATTTTATCTGGGATGTTGTCCTTTATTTGCAGCTAGGAGAGAAAAGTTGTGCGCCAGAGAACAGTAGTAGTTTGACTTGTGAGATACACAGCACAAAACAGCAAAGTGCCTTTGCCTTCTCATCACCATAGAGTAACATAGTTCTGTGTCTCTAACACAAGGTTTCTGTAGAATAGAAGGAAGAAGGATTTTTAGAAGTTTCAAGCAAGCCTGTCTCTCTCATCCAACCAATGAAGAACATAGGCCCACAGAGAAAAGTGACTCACATCTTTCAGAGTAACAGAGAACTTTAATTCCAAGTCCCAATATGAAAAAAATAAGTATTACATCTGTCTCTTATTAACAGGGCAGAAAGTGGCCAACCTTCTAAGCTGTGTGAAATCAGAGGGCTTGGGATGCACAGCTACTGCTGGCTGGCGGCAGTGATCTTAAATTGTCCCACATGTTTATATTTCTTCTACTAAAACACAAAGCTTCCGGTGCTCAAGGGCACTCGAGAGCCTTTGGGGTTTGAAGTGGACGTTTACAAGGCAAGCAAGCTTTGAAGACATCATACTACAAGGTTTACTTGTCGGTGGAATCCCTCCACTACTGTTCTCACACACTGCGATGTGTGTGCACACCCAGAAGTCAGCACACATATGTGCACATGCGCGCTCATGCATGCGTGTGCACGCGCACGCACACACACACACAATTTTATTTTCCCTTTGTGCTACCCATTCCAACCCAATCTGCCTGCATGTAGAGTAATAGGGCTCTATGACTGCCTTTTGCTATTAAGAAAACCGATGATATAAAGAGACCAAGCTATAGTCAGCAAACTGTCTTCTTACACTATTTTCTTTTAGTATTCAGGATTGAACCAGGGCCCTCTGTTATGGGGTAGGTGACTAAGTTATGTCATCCACCATGTCTTTATATTTTGTTTTGAGACAGGGGCTCACCAAGTAACTAGATTGCTAAGGCTGAGCTCAAACTTGTGATCACCCTGCCTCAGTTTCCTAGAGGGCTGGGATTAAGGCATGTGCCATCATGCCCAGCTCTCCCAACACTCTGCACACAGAAGATAGATGAACTTGCTGGTTCTATTCCAGATGGCAGCCAAAGTTTAGGTGACATGCACACCCATGTTAACTGGAAACTAGCTACACACCTGATCTATTGGGGGATTAAACTTGTTACCTGTATCTACTGAAAGCCCTGACCCACTGGATTTGCAGGGTGCTCATGAGTGAGAAGGTGGTTTCTCTGCAGGGACTTCCAGGATGGAAGGAAGGAAGCTCAGACTCCACAGCAGAGCAGATCTGGCCCTGTACTACATGGCTGTGGCATCCTGAAGCTTTCCACCCACCATTTCCTGATCTACAGTGGTGCTGACGATACCACCACCACCTCACCCGTATGCGTGCAGGATTACATGAGCTCAGGCATGTAAAGGCTCAGCCCCACGCTGGGCAGCCTGCAAGCACTTGGCAGTGAGCCTTTTTAAGGGTGGAAACTGTTTGCATTAAATAAATTAATTGAAATTGCTTTTTAGTCACAATAATCACATCGGTTACACACCTTCACCAATAATATCAAAGTGCGAGGGCTTTGGGGAAACCGAGGGACCTGGCTGACCTTTGGGAGCAGTGTTCTTGGGCAGGGGAAACTCACTTTCTCATAGGGAATCTGCAGCAGCTCTAGCACCACAGCATGTGCACCCATGTTCCGTAGCAGTCGCTGCTGCTGCTTCCGGCTCTTCCTCACAGAAGCACTCTCTTGAACACATAGTTTGCTAAGTCGAATCAAAATCTGGAAGAAAAACAAATGAAGCTCAAAACACTAAGAACTATATTTGGAAAAAGACTGCCGTATGAAAGGGGAAAAGGGGACTTCAACCAATACTTAGGTTTAAATGGTTTAACCTAGCATTTAAAACCTAAGTATTCGCCTGTAATCCCAGCACTCGAGAGGCTGAGGTAGGAGGGTCGCTGGAAGTTTGAGGCCAGCTTGGGCTACATCACCAGTCCAGTGCCAGCCTGAACTCCACAGCAAGACCCTATCTCAAAAAAAAAACAACTGGAAAAAAACCTGAAGTATTAAATGCATTAAAAACATAGACATGCCTTCCATATGTGGCATCTCTGCTGACTGAAGTCAAATAAATCCATGGAAGACTCTGACTTCCAGAATAAGCAGAATCTGGCTTCCACAGCAAGTAGAACCATTTCAGATAGATCTCTTAAAATGGTTTGACCCAGCATCAACTCCCAAGACCTTGGTGAGAGTTTGCTCTGGGGTAAAAAAGGCACATGCATACTGGGCTCCCAACCTTGCAAATTTGAGCCACCTTATGCAAAGATTTGTAAAGAAATGCAGCTCTCACTGGTAGATGCTATGGGCAGACATTGAGACAAACCCTCAACAACTGTATCAGCTACTCCTTTATTCTACTGCAGAGCTTCAGAAATGTGTGGTACCCATAAAAGTACTGCACATATAAGAGGTGAGGAACTGAGGACATACAAGTTGTAAGTGGCAGAGTTGAGTTTCGAATTCGGATCTGATGCTAAAACCCATGCACTCAACCTAGGAGCTCTACTTTCTCCCGTTAAGTTTACATGACAAAAAAGGCCAACGGGTTTGTGCCTGCAATTTGAGTATCACTAACTAAAGCTACTTAGAGAATTAATGAAGGAAGAAAAAGGTGGATGTGCGCTTACCTCTTTTACCACTCTGTAGTTATAGCTGCTGGTACTTTCATGCTTTTGTGACTTGTTATTCCCCTCCTAAGGAACAAAATGAACACAACCATGGTTGGTACAACTTGTGGGTGGCTGCTGGACTGGCAGAATGGGTACTAACCTTTACGGGAGTTTTGTACTGTTTTCCAACAGACATGCTGGGTTTGTGCCCAATGCATCTCCTCACACTCAGCTCCTTTGGAAGAGGAGGCAAAGCCAGGCCATGGCTAGAGAACAGGTGCATTCCCAAGGGGATCTGTAGGGGAAACCTGGTGATCATTCACTCCCCAAGGAAGTCTCATCTACATAATACAGGGCGGCCCAAAGACATGGGTGAACCTTCACTTTGTAGCTTACTTCCTAGGACAACAGTGGTTACTTGGACTGCTTGACAACAGATCTCTTAATAAAGCCCATCCCCTACTCTGTATTTTTATCCAAGAACAGCATAGGATGCTTCTTCATTTCAGTTGGCACACCTTTGCACTTGGGCAGCCTGACTTGTGTCTCACTCACCTCAGTTTTCTTATGCTCATTTTCACCAGATGCACCATCTGTGATCTCATCCGGGCCCTGGCCTTTATAGACCCAGAGCTCAGACTTTTCCACAATGGACCGCAGTTGATCTAAGTCTTGTTTGATCTGTTTGTAGTTATCCACATCTTGGCTCATAACCAGCAGTTGAACCTTAACAAATGAAATCTATTAGAAGCACACAGCAGCTTCTCAGACAGACAACACACACCTTGGCCATGGGTGCTACCTGTTTGAAGGCTTAGAGGACCTCCTGCCTCTGACTGAAGTGCCGAAAGAGGAGCTGCAGGGCCCCGGACACCAGGGGCGGATAATCGTGCATTGTCAGGTGGAGCAAGACGCGGAGGAAGGTTCTACCACCATGATCGTCCAAGTCCAGTGGGGTGTTCTCCTCACTGCAGAAGCACACCAGAGCGGAGGGACCAGGTGAACAACAAACACCTCACTCATGCACACCCCGGCCCAGACATTTCTTATACTCCCTTCCCTCTCACATGACTTCACACTGTATCAGCTCCCTTCACACTGCCATCTTGCTCTATCTTCAACTATACTGGCTAAGAAGGGAGAGGACAAGTAAGATGTTATCATTGTCAAATTTTAAACCAAAGTCTGTACCCTCCCAAACTAACAAGTCTTGTGCTACAACCAGATCCTGAGACAAAGATTAGTCTTCTCCTATTGGGCTCCATATGTGGTCCAAGAACTTCAAAGGGACATTTCTCCTAAGTTATCATTTTATTTAAGATGCTGTGACTCAATGCTTATCAAATGATCTGTAGTGAAAGACCAGATCAAGCACTGAGATGGCACCACAGTGTCAAATGGCCATAAGGGTGGCCAAGCCATGACTCTCTGTTCTGTGTTTATTTTGTGTGACTGGTAACAAGCAGTGTTTAATGGACCCTGCCTTGAACAGTATTTCCACAAAGCAATTAAACTCATTCTGTTCTTCAAAGTGAGATTAATCAACACATTATCAGGGGTTATCTCAATATCTATGATAACTTGTCCACTACTGAAATAATTAAAAAATTAATGGGCATATCCTCTATCAAATAGCCTACTGGATACCACTAGTACATTAATGTATCAGCATCTCTGTGGTGTTTATGATCAAATGCATGACGAACAGTGAGACCTTCATGGCTAACAAGAAAAAGGCTAACAAAAAAGCAGAATGGGGACTGCACACATGAATGCTACCTGCATGCTATATCCAAA